AGAACCGCAAAACTCTGACGGGATGTAGAACCTATCCGGAACCTCCTTACCCTAAGGCGCCATGTAGGTACTATTTATAGGGTTTAGGGCCCAATGTAGGTATTATCTATATAGTTAGAGCCCCAGGGATAGGGATACCGTGAGTTATGTCGGGAATTCTGGTAAAGGATTTAGTGTTGTTGGGGAGTTGCCGGTGGATACACTTACATAAAAATAAGGCCTACAGAAGGCCTATATGGGCAGATAGGGAGAGAAATGAGGGCTATGTAAGGCTTGCATGGGGGAAACTACCCACCGTACATTTCTGCAGATAGAAGAAGCAACCCTTCAAGATCAAGTAACGGTTTTGGGATGAAGGGGGATCATGTGCTTGAGTATATGGAAGGGTCTGCCAAATTAGGGATTTAGGAGGGCTGGCCTAGGGTTGCGGAGGTTGAAAAATCAGAAAATATCATAGGACCCTTTCTGGGAGGTGCATAACTTGCATCCACTTTGCTGAGTCTACTCCTATCTGGCTTCGAAGCCCCTGAGTCAGGGGCTGAACAATCCGAGTTTTTGTATGCTCTGGGAAGGATCCTCGTGCAAGGTGGATGCGGGTGGGCTTGCACAAGCTGTTCAGCCGAGGGAACTATTTCGGCGGATGCTCACGGAAAGTCACTTTACTGTAAGCAACTTTTTCCCATAACGAGCCCATTGCTGAGTTGCCTACCTACCCCCTACCCTAATCCCCATTGTCTTGCTGTGTGCCCAGCATCAAGGACGCCCAGTCGATCTCCATGCTCTTTGCCTCAGTGTTCTCAGTCACCGTGACCCTAAACCCTAAACCCTAAACCCTATTCATTGACAAGGTTACTGGCTTCATGGCTAAGTTTAGGCTCGCAGGTTCTCAAGCTTTATCGATGATGGTTTACGGCTACCATGCGCCCTGTCTCCGAGACAGAGTTGGGCTTCTTTGTGTCCAAGTCTGAAACACTTGGGGGCCTCACTGAGGGCTAACATACTCGCATTTTCGGAAGGCAGCCTAACTGCAGGCTGCCCGGTTCTCCTCGCTAAAAATCTGTTGAGGGTTCTATACGGGCTATGCAGGGTCTGGGACTGTTTTTTCTGAGCCCAAAGCCCTGTTGGGGTGTGGCGTTCCTGCCCCAACTCACACACCCACAATCTCAGAAGTGAAATTCAAAACCGCAACTCACGGCTTGCTTTTTTCCAGCGTTTAGGGCCTAACCACACAAAACTTCAAGACACCAAAACTGCATGAGAGTCATGCAATTGCACTTGGCCTCTGCCTGATTCTTGCCTCTTTCACATTGAGATCCGTGTTGGCCGCTCCTTCTGCCAAATTCTCATATTACTTGAAGATGAGATATCCCTTGAGGTCGCTGTTCCCCCCCCTTTGGAGAAGCTCTCACATTACATGAACCACAGAGATCCAAAAGCAGAATCTAAAAACTTTCACTACCCGGCTCTCAACCTCATCCCTCCCTCTATATAGTCCCCTTAAGTAGATAGAATATGGGGGTATATGGGGATCTCATTATAATGGGGGACTGTAACTGGAGAGCTCAGCAGCCTGAACCAATTTGACCAGTAACCCCCAGAACGCTCCCCTGTAGAAACCCCTATAGAACCCCCTTTGGGGAGTTTAGACTGAAGTATACTGAAGTCAATGCTTATAACTGAAACTCCAGCTCCACAAATCATCACCGCCCTAGATAGGCGACCAGAGCGAAAGACAGATTTATAGCTCGTTGCTGAGCCCCATGTACACCTGACCCCAAAACCTAACATCCCAACACTTGAAAAGTCTACAACCCGAAGCCCGAAACCCTTCAACCCCAAAAATCCTATACCCTAAGCCCCAACCACAAGCAGTCTAAACTTTTCACATGTCTCAAGACTTCAGGCCGCGGCGAAGCATTTGCTCTCGGTTCTGCAGCTCGGTGGAAGCCCTGTTAACAAGATCCTGGACACGTTTACGGTATAGGATGGTTCAGGAAGGTTTAGGGTTTTTGCTTCGTGCAAGGAGTTTCGCGCTAACAGTATTAGACTAGTTATTGAAGGTCAGATAGAGTATCCGCGTATGATCTGTTAGCGGTAGCGGTCAGTGTACTGATTTTGAGATCACTGAAATGATGCGTCTGTACGTAGTTTGTGGGCCTTCGGACTTGTGTAGAGCGATGGCTCATTCTCTAGACAGCTGATCAGCTCATGCCAATCGCATGAAAACCGCGGTCACATACTAAGATCCTTCTATCAATAAAAGCCTGTAGCGCCACAAATGTACCTGTCCCAAAGTTTTTTAGAGTGTCTGTGCAAATGATCTGGGACCCGCTTCAAGCCTTCGAGGGGCCTTCCCTCCCTATCTTTGGTGAACCCCGAAATGTTAGAAAGGCGGTTCTGAGGCAACGTGCAGCCCTGTCGAACATAGATGCAATGAGAAGCGGACAGGCGGGGACCATGGGAGCCTGTTCTACGCAGGGCTGGACTTTCCAAACCTGGATAGGATTGGAGCTGCTGCGCCCTCAGCATCAGAGATCAAGTAGTGGCTAAGGACGGTATTGGCGCCTGTAAAGGTTCGTAGGCGCCAAAACTCAGGCCCTTTTTTACACAACACCAGTCCACCATGGGTCTCCTCTTAACTTACCATTCTTGCTAGGGAAAGGAGACCTCTCGTACTCTTCTATGATCATGCAAGGACCGCGCAGAGCCCATTAGTCCAATCACCTTTCCTTCATCAACTCAGGTAGGGAGCAGATATTGCATGAAGACAGACATGCCAGGTGCCACTTAACACACATCCTCAGGATTCATGTAGCTGGTTGTCAAAATTATGGTCCCTTTTTGGGTACCCTAGATATTAGGGGCCGTATTATAATAGGGACCCAAAAAGGGACCATAATTTTGACAACCACCCATGTCTCTCTAATCTTACCGTCTTACCGCACATCTCATCACCTTGTCTCACTTTTCAGTCTTTAACCTGAAATTCGGCAACCCTCAGCGTGCAACCACCGCCCAGCCCTTTAGTCCTCCTTAAGTAGATGGAATATGGCTTTGGGCATATTATACCAAGATCCCCATATACCCCAAAATCCCACGACGTCTAGAGGACCACCCAGTCTCCTCCAGGGCATTCCGGTTTGCCTCAACCTGTAGCCCATTTGGAGGGACAGTTTACGGTTTAGATGTATTCTGGCAGGATTGAGTCAGGTCTTCGGCTTTTGTCCCAAATCAGGTTGCCCTCAAGGCCCTTCTTGGAGCAGTAAAGCTGCACGTCTTGATAATGCAAGTACATTGAGGTGGGTTCCTTGCATATTAGGATGTACCCAGGGAGCCCAATACCCCTTAAGTAAGGAATATACCTCAAATCATATGAGGGACCCCAGTACCATTTAAGGTATATTCCTCATATAACCTCTATAAACCCCATATAATCCCTATATAATCCCTACAGAATCCCTTTATATTCCGTAATAAGGTATATTCCTCAATTAAGGGGTAGTTGGGCTCTCTGGGTAATAGCATTGGCTTTGGGCCTTAGGGCGCAGGGTCCTGGAGCCCTGGGAGGTCTGAAAAGTAGAATCCCCCAACATGGCACCTAATCTGGCTTGCTGTTAAGGAACCTAACTTAAGAAGTTACTATATTGGGGAACCCATATGAACTTATGTATATACCCATTATGGTAACTTAATCTAATTATTCCTTAACCGCAACCCCATAGTACTACTTGAGTGAGATGTCTAGGACCTAGGAACCCCGAACTCCAAGTCCTAAACCACGCAGGGGATCTAGGGTTAAGGTTTAGGGTTTAAGGGTTTAGGGCTCTGGGTTTTAGCAGCTTAGAGCAGCCGGCGAGCTACTGCACTGTCGGTTTGAAGCCTTGGGGAGAGTTCAGAATATAGGGTTTCAAGTTTGGGGCTCAGGGTTTAGGGGTCGCCCATCTACTGGGATGCCAAAAACATTAAGTTACTATGATGAAAGTACATAGTAATTTATGTGGTTTCCTTATTACAATTCCTGTAATTCAAGTTCCCTTAACAGCAGCCGCGTTCAGGATTCGGGGGTAATGTCCGGCCTTGATTATTAGAATGAGGTTTGGGGGGATATCCTACCATGGTTACATGAGCGTTGCAGC